GCTATGTGCTCATGTGCGGTCTTCATAATCGACGTCATGTGTGCAACCCAATCATCCAGCGCGGGACAACTCGTGTCGGGGTGCATCTGGGATGGTCGAAGGAAGTCCGCGGGAACACGCGGGTGATAGCCGAGGTCGCAATAGTAAGGCGACATCCCCGTGGCTGGCGAGACGGCATGGTTGTAGGCTATCTCCGCGTGGGCAAGATGGAGATCCCACTGCTGGTCGTTACAAACAATCTTTCGGAGAATATCCCCGAGAGTCCTGTTCGTGATCTCGGTCTGACCATAAGTCTGAGGATGGTAAGACGAGGAGAAGCGGAGCTGAGTGCCGTACACCTCGTGGAGCCGTCGCCAAAATCGGCTGGTAAAGCGCGGGTCACGGTCAGATATGATGCTCAGAGGTAAGCCGTGGTCACGCACGACTCGGTCAAATACGATGTCGGCGACCTCACGTGCACTAATGGCATAGCGGCACGGAACAAAGCGTGCACGCTTCGTGAAGCGGTCGACGACGACCAGGATAGCATCATGACCGCGGGGGGTCGGAGGTCGAAGAGGACCGATAAAGTCCATCGAGATGGACTGCCAACGACCCTTAGGGATAGGAAGAGGCTGGAGCAAACCATAGGGTAGGTGGTTCGCACTGTTCACCTCCTGACAGGTGGGACACTCTGCGACGTAGTCCTTCACAAAATCCTTGCGCTTCGGCCAGACGTACAGGCGGCTCACACGAGCCAACGTCTTGTGGAAGCCCATATGACCGGCAGCTGCCTGGTCATGGAACTCTGCTACTGCTCGGACACGTAGCTGTCCAGTGGAGGGAACACAAATACGGGGCTCTCTGGTGCCCTGTGAACCGTGCCAGTACACAAGACCGTTGTCCCCGAGAGAGTAGTTCGGGACGGTCTTGCCACTCCGAAGGGTCGCGTGGATGTCACGATAGTCGGGGCAATGGCGGTACTGAGTGCGAAACTCGTCGATCACCGAGTGGTGGACGGTGTTGACCGAGATGGAAGAGAGCTGGATGAGCTCCTGGTCGTGGTCAGGGCACCGGGATAGGGCATCGGCGACCCGATTAGTCTCACCCTTGATGTGCTCAGTGGTGAAACTAAACTCGGATAGGTCGCGCCACCAGCGAGCCTGTCGAGGAGTGAGCTTCGGCTTTGTCGGAAAAGCCTGGACAACAGAGTTGTCCGTGCGCACCGTGAATGGTGCCCCGTGCAGGTAGTGACACCAGTGCCGAGCGGCATAAACTACTGCGAGAACCTCACGTTCATCAGCAGTGTAGTTTATCTCGGCGGGCAGGAGCTGATGAGAGTAGAAGGCTATCGGACAATCACCTGAGCGAGACTCGACAGTGCCGTCCTCGGCGACGGTAGGAGAATAGCCAATAGAAGGCTCGTCAGTAGCTGGACGAGTAGGCGTCAGTCGGGAGGCAGTGGTAGGGGTAGGTGGTGGGAAGCGAGGGATACGAGGATGAGAGGAATCAGGAGATGAGGGGAAGATCTGAGAAAGCACTGCTCCTACARCGAAGTCTGACGCATCGGTGGTAAGGATAAAAGGGCGGTCAA